CATGCAAAAACTACACTGTAAGAGGGCTACTTAAGTAGCATGCCATTTTCTCATTGATTTTTCGATTCCCTTAAAAATTCAATTATATTTCATGGAACGCATGCATAAAAATACTTATTCTTTTGCTCATTCAATAGAAAATTACGTCTTCTTTCAATTTTGCACTCGAAGGAAGGGTATAATTCGGTTTTTTAAAACTATTCCAATTCCCGAATAATTTTGAACCCAACCTGCCGTTACACATACATTCAGGGTTCCCAAACTACAAGCCGTATAATTTCAGCGTACGGAAAACCATACATTTGTCTACGGTATTAGGAGGGGACCATATGGAGCTCATAAAATAAAGTAGTTGATTTGAGCAATATTGCTAACACCACATGCAACATTGATAAACGCAGATACATGACATTTTATGAACAACCATTTCGCGGTATTAAAAAATTTCACAATTGGAAACTTTTTAAAACCGAATAATACCCTTTCTTCGAGTGTTAAATCGGAAGAAGACGTGATTTTCTACCGCAGAAGTAAAAGAATGAATATTTTTATGCATGTTTTCTGTGAAATATAATTGAATTTTCAATGACATCGAAAATCAATGAGAAAATTGCATGCTACTTAAGTAGTCATTTTTCGCAGAGTATAGCTTTTGTATGTAGCAGAAAGGAAGTTCTTTCGAAAGCCGGCATCCTGAGGTAACTGAATTATTATAGAATTATGCTGCAAATTGATTAGTTTTACAACTCTACTTAATTAATCTTTTCGAAACGGGAACGCATTTCGAAATTTCGACTGACATTTCATGAGTCTGCCCACGTACTGTATTTTGCTGCCATCAACCAATGATATCCCAGCCTCATTTGGACCCCTGCCGGTTATAATTGTCAGGATACGCCCGCATCAAACTCCACTGTGGGCCTACCTTGTAGCGGTACAGCAATGAGAATAAGTGCTCTGAGCACTACAACCACCAGGTCGAATTCCATATTGGTAGGAGAAGACGGAAGGCACCAGACTGGGGGGTCTATTGTACACAAAACCCGGAGTTGTCCTCTCAGGCGGCAGTGGCCACTGGCGAAGCCAGGACTGGTGTTGACTGCGTCCAGTCTGGTCTGAGAGTCCCTAGGATAGTGGTGGCAGCCACTTTTGTAGGCTCGTGGGCCAAGCGCAAGTGGTGTCCAGTCAGTGTGTGTTGCATTTGCCGAGGGGTGGTGTCCCAGTGGCTTGTTTTTCTGGTTGCAGGGGCGCGGTGCGTTCAAGTGGCGTATGGGTAGCCGCGACCTTGTGTGGACGCAATTGTGTCCGGGCGGAATGGCATAAGGTCAGCCCATCTGAGATGGTTCGTTGCAAGTGGTGAATGACCTTGAGGCAGCGAGGTCGTGAACAATGACGCCAGACCGATCATGATGGCTGCCCACTACAACCTCATGCCGGTCGAGGTCCGTACTATCCAGCCACCACATCGAAGTGACCCCCCCGCAAATTCACCATACGGGTTCGTTATCAGTAAGGCAATTTTGCGATTGCTGACCTACGCGTTGTTAAACACAGAGTTCTGTTTGGTTGTTGAGGCAAAACAAGTCCTCCTAGTTTGAGTATGCTTGATTCATACCCGTGGTCACGTTTTATGGATGTCGGCTTGCATCTTCGTGGTAACATGGAGGAATGTACGATTGTCCGTGCACGGTGGGTTGTATCCTTTGCCTTTGAGGAACCATCCTACCTTAATTTTCTTTTGCTCTAACCAAAAGGTGGTTTTTTCACTTGCAGGAAAACCCTTCTCATTCGGCAAACGGGATCAGCGCTGATGAAGTTTGCGCTACTCCTATTTTATCAATCTGCACATATCTCTCCCGACTCCGTCTTCTGTATTTCCAGTCCCCTCTTTATTTGATCCATTTTTTCCCCTTTTTCTTCTTTTTCTAAATACACTATTTTCAAAGTCGACCTCGTTTTGCCCGCTGTTTTATGTTGATTTGACTCGAACGCACATGTTCTGTCGACGCTTGTACTTAGCCAATCAGAGCAGCCGCTTCACCCCGGCTCACAGACACGAGCAAGCTCATTTGAACCAGTCAGGCCCTCATGACCGTGCCCTAAATCTTCTGCCCGATCACCCAATCAGATGCGTCATTTAGGAAACTGATTAAGGGGTCGTAAGCGTCTGCTATGCCACGATCAGCAAGCCATGGCCCTCGCAGCCTGGTGGGCGCTTGCAATTCTCTGATCCCCTGGTCCCCTGCCATTGGATGCGCTTACGCTTCCGCGGGGTGTACAGGTCGTGAGCATGGCTGTCCAGTCATCCTCGCCTTTCTCACCCGTTGCGGTGCTGTTACTGTTGGTTAAAATCTGGGTCAAACGTTTGTTGTGAACCAGGGGGTGTAGTGGCACGCCTAGGTGCGGCTCCGGCCGCACCAACCACCCGCGCCCATCCTCACCTCCGGTGTTCCTGACAACGTCTTGACACCGGGTGCAGGTGGGGGGAGGAGAGTGCGGTAGATGCTGCGTAAGCCACGGTGGACATCTTCGGGCACGACGGTCGAACTGCCAGGAAACTGATGCTTTTTTAGCCCGGACCGCAACACCTTCCCATCTGAGGTCTGAGAGTGGTTGTATCGAACGCGTTTATGAAATACTGGTTTTCCGTAGTATCTGTATCCGGGGGGGGGGGGGTGGTGAATGCATCTGCCTATCCATCCCCTTCAGTGTGTTAATTTAAAGCTGCACGCTTCTGTGGGAAATCGCATTTGCCCCCCGTCACCCTGACTGCTCGGCGAATCTGTCCGCGGCGAATGGTTGAACGACCTTCGGCGAAGGTTGTCGGCGAGCCAATCACACTCTCGATCAGCAGCTGCTGACCAGCAGCAACGGGGTTAACAGATCGCGCAGGGCTGACGTCCGGCACACCAACTGCCTATGACACGATCGTGAGCCGCTAATAAATAAGCATGCTCATCATTCCTGCTCTGTGGTTTGGTAGTCGGGTCAAAGCGCAAGGGGAGACGGTCTCGAACGCAATCCGGCCGATTGTTGAAGGCCGGCCCGTACGCAAAGTCTCTAGAAGGCCTCGCGAGAATGTCCAACCCAAGTATTATGACCACGCTACGACGTCGGCGGAAATTGAAGCACTTTGCAATCCGGCTCCGGAGAATGTGGACGAATAGTTTGCGAACTGGACTACCTAATCGGGAACTAACCCTTGACATTGGATGCTAAAATGTGTGGCCGTTTCTGGACCCTTGTACCCACCCTCTTACTACGCGCTGACTATCCGATGTCCGAATCCCGTACTCAAACTCGGAGATTCTGGATCGGGGGAGACCCTTCTGACTTCATTTTCACTCACAGTCGATCACTTGACTCTTAGTATATATAGTGTGACGATCGCCATCTCTCAACAAGCGAACTATATACTGCTTATGTTGGGTCCGGCCAATGATCGGCCAGCTTGCATAACACGAAGTTCGTACTTTACTGCGTCCACGTCCGTGGACCATTGTGATAAAGAAGTCGGCTGATTTAATCGCTCTCCGGGATCTGGGTTGGTCGAACTGGATCAGACACTTCTAAAATAATTGTCTTGGTTACTTTTGACTTAATTCAAGAAATCATATCTGGATTAATGATAGTGGATCGATGCCTGATGTCGGAACTATCAACGACCGCGGGGGTCAGGCCATGTTCTTGTCCGCGAACTTTTGGAATTCCATCTCTTCTAATCTTAGACCGAGACGCCAATTTTTTCACGGTTGGATCAGCATGAATTATCCAAAATCTACCAAAAACATCTATGAATTACGTAAGCCTGGTGGTCATCTGGTGGATTACTTAGGAAATCCTGCTTGGTCAGTCAGCTTACTGTACCAGATTTGGTGGATTCCAGACGTTGTAATATGTTGGGCGGGTAAATTGACCCAAATACGATTAAACCGACGTCTTCCGGCGGGGCCTCATAGCTCAGCTAGAATTCGCAGCCAAGTATTGAAGTGCCCTACTAAATTCACGATTACTGTTGGTTAAATAATAGAAGATTGCAGCCGATCAACTACAGGAGACAGAAGTGCTGTTCAAGCTCTTCCAGAAAATCTTTACTCCACTTTGACCCAACTGTGAAAAACTCGGTTGGCTGTACTTAAGCCTTCCCCTTGCTGTCGTGGGTTAAAATCCCACCGACATCACCGAGTTTTTCACGGCTGAATCAATATAAATTATTAAAAATCTACCAAAGCATCTATTACTTCGAATGTTTCGTAAATAATGCCTTGATATCTCAAAACTACAGCAACCCAACAGATCCGAGACTCTGAGCTGATAGATGCGGTCTCACTTTGCAATCGGAGTTAAAGAGGGAGGCAGTCGTCGGTCTGCAGGACATGGAAGAGAGTTCTCTGATTCGCCGCGCGAAACCACGGTGGCTGGATTAGCGAAAGAACTCCTCCAGTCGTCCAATCCATGACGGTGATTGCCTCCTCCAACACCGTAAAATGACGGCAAACGACTAGGCTGGAATAGCGGCCTTTAGTGGCTACTCAAAATCTGTGCCGAATTATTTGCCAAGTTGGTGGGAAGCCCTCTTCACTGAGTGGCGACTACATTGCTGACAACTCGGCCTAAGTCGGGCGCTAGCGTGAGCATTTCAAGTGCCTTCACAATTTCGACAGCTAACCCACTATGCCTTCGCTCTCTTCTCTCCAGCCTATACAATATCATGTGACATCCTCCCCAGGTAGAAATTGCCGGTGCAATACGTAGGCGGTACAACAATCAGGCGGTCGGGGAGGGCGATATTTCCTCCGAAGTCTACAAGTCTTGTGTGCTGATACTGGGCTAGTATGGGAAGACGAGACCGTTCCTGATGACTGTGGCTCGGACATCTCTACGCCTATCTTCAAGAAGGGAGATGAGACAATGCCCAAGGCCCAACTAAGCCGGGTTCCGAGCTGGACGTGGATGCATTGATCAGATATTCCCATTGCGGCGCATTTTAGCATTCCGCTATGGTTACCAGCAAACAACGGCTGTCTGCTTCGTTGATGTCACCGCGGCGTTCGGTCCCGTTGATCGTGAGTCCCTGCGGCGGACAATGGATAAGGATGCTATGTCGGCGAAAATGATCGTTATGGTCAAGGCATGCCATCGCTCCGTGAGTTTTAGTTCACAATGAGTTCCGGATTTTCCATATTCGGCCTGGCGTTCGGCAAGGTTGCATCTTGTCTTCCATTCTGTCTAACCACGGCACGTTCCCGGAAGGGCTTTACGCTGTACCCCGAAGCCGGCTGACAGACCTTGTCTTCGCTATGGTGGCCTACAGTCTGTGATGTCACGGGCGAATGAGGCCGCCAAATCATTTTATTTACCCAAAACGAGGGAAATGTTTTGAAGCTGGATCTCTGGCCAGGCGAGGGCACCCCTCAGGACTAATGACTGTCAGCATGCAGAAGGGGACGGTTTCGAATTCCTCGGGGGACGACATCGTCTTCCGAGTCGGCGTCACTCGCAGGTTTCCCACAATATTCAGGTGGTGTTCTTAGACCCGACGCGATATCTCCACCCTCACAAAGATCCACGTTTACCAGGCATCTCACAGGTCGGTCCTGCGCGGTTGTCTGTGCTGTCTTGTGCACGTTGGAAACGAATAAAAAATAGATTAAAAACTGGTGGTGTTTGCTCACCGTTATCTGAGAACCATCGTTCGAGTGAAGTGCACCGGCTTCGTCCACACTCGCTGCGACAACATCGCGGGATGTAGTGTCTGATTTGGTTTGGACACGTTGTTTTTTGTCACCCTCTCCATGACTTCCACCTGAGGTCGACGACGAGGAGCTTAGTTCAAAAACTGCCACAAAACAATCAGTCAAAACATGGAAGTGGTTCTTGGACCTCTAGTATTGGATCCCGTTGCTGAGGAGGATGAGTCAAGCTCTTCAGATCATCTACCAAGTGGAAAGACACCATCTGCGATTCCCTGTAGACCAGTTGGGTCAGAAATGATCGCAGCGGTCACGAGTACAGTAGTTGTGCTAACTCATGAAATGTCAACCAAAATTTCGAAATGCGTTCTCGTTTCGAAAAGATAAATTAAGTGGTGTTGTAAAACTAAGCATGATGCAGCATAAATCTATCATGATCCAGTTACCTCAGGGTTTCGGCTTTCGAAAGAACTTATTTTCGGTTGCATGCAAGATCTATACTTTGCAAAAAATGACTACTTAAGTAGCATGCAATTTTTTCATTGATTTTCGATGCCCTTGAAAATTCAATTATATTTCATGGAAAACATGCATGAAAATATTCATTCTTTTACTTATTCGGTAGAAAATCACGTCTTCTTCCACTTTTATACTCACAAGAAGAGTATAATTCGGTTTTAAAAAAGTTTCTAATTGTGAGACTTTTTAATACCGTTAAATGGCCGTTCATGAAACGTCATGTATCTGCATTTACGAATGTGGCTTGTAAAGTTAACAATATGGCTCAAATCGACTGCTTAATTTTATGAACCTTATATGGTCTCTTTTTAACACCGTAGAGAAATGCATGCAATATTGCTAACTTTACAAGCCACATTCGTAAATGCAGATACATGACGTTTCATGAACGGCCATTTAACGGTATTAAAAAGTCTCACAATTAGAAACTTTTTTAAAACCGAATTATACTCTTCTTGTGAGTATAAAAGTGGAAGAAGACGTGATTTTCTACCGAATAAGTAAAAGAATGAATATTTTCATGCATGTTTTCCATGAAATATAATTGAATTTTCAAGGGCATCGAAAATCAATGAAAAAATTGCATGCTACTTAAGTAGTCATTTTTTGCAAAGTATAGATCTTGCATGCAACCGAAAATAAGTTCTTTCGAAAGCTGAAACCCTGAGGTAACTGGATCATGATAGATTCATGCTGCATCATGCTTAGTTTTACAACACCACTTAATTTATCTTTTCGAAACGAGAACGCATTTCGAAATTTTGGTTGACATTTCATGAGTTAGCACAACTACTGTACATTCGCCATCTCGCAATGCGGCTACGACCTTTGACCTTTCTACAGGTAGTGCTTTGTCGGGTCGCTCTCTGATCATGAGGGCCTGCTAATTCCGCAGTCAACTTTCGCTAAAAAGTCATTTCACTATCAGGGGCGCTCACCGATCGTTCTTACGGAACTCACTCGTTCCGTAAGAACGACCGATGAGCGCCCCCTGCCATTGTATATTCCCGATCGAAAACCGACAAGGCAACGGACTCGTGGCCGGGTGGGTAGAGGCGTGGACTTCTAAACCAACAGGTCGCGAGTTCGAGGCTCGGGTGTTCCACACTTCGGGGTTGGGTATGGCTGGCTGACGACGGCTAATAAGCCAGAAATGGCCATTCCAGTCTCCCTTGTCTTTGTCGGTAATGCCATTCTGCCTACGTCATTTCACTATCCACCACCCACTGACGGACAGGCGTTGTCTCCACAATGTTCATATTATCCCCGGGATACATGTAATAGGTCTATATACTGGCCAATCGCATGCTTCGCGTGTGAGCGTTGACCCGTTTGGTGTTTTGGTGTTTGCGTTGTCACCAGTGTGAACCTCGCTACTGAGACACGCCTCGGCTCCATCAGAGTTCTTGGCAGAGTGACAATCCTTTGCGAGCTATCATCACTGCAGTAACATGCAAGCGGACGTACGGATGACTGTAAGTGAACTTGTCTGTACGCCAGGGAAAAGCCGAAGACAGGTTTGGGAGATTGATAAGAAGGTAAATCACACCGGAGGAAGTGAAATAATAAAAGTTATAAATAGCCAAGTCGATTCAAAAATCTTACTGACGGATTGGGTATTGATTCGGGTTTGCGGTCTCCGAGGTTAGCTCTCAAAAATCTGCTCTGTGGTGGGACTGTCTCGTGGCAGAATCCCGGCAAGACGCAGCCTGACTGTTAGCTCAGCTTCGGGCTTCCTAATGCGTAAACTGGTTGGGAATTTTGAGAAGACCCCCAGTGACCTTTTGTCTGCTAAACTGCGCTGCCATGCACAGAAACACGTGAGTACATGGGGAAATGAACTGCGCAAAGGGTAGCCGTATGGTAATCACGGATAGCAGGCATGTTTCTGTCAGTTTGTTCAAATTTCTGACATCTTAAGAAGGCCAACACGGCATTAAGCTCAGCTGGATGACTTGGTGAGACATGTGCTGGGACGTACTGACGAATAAAGTCTGGGCTTTAGTGGTCTTTCCTCCAGTTTTTTAGCCGACGTAGAGAATGCGCCGAAACGGACGAAATACTGCCATGAAACAAGTTCAGTTTGTGAAGTTATTTTGCGGGCAATAGGTACTTGAAAGAGGCGAATATTTTGATTGGAGGAAATGTGCGAGCTTGACTTTTGAGAACCTCAACCGTTGAGAACGACGAGGTCTAAAAATGCTCAACAAGATGGGCCCAGCAGGGGTGACTTTCGACGCGCCTACCTCACTATCTCTTCCATGGCATTCACAATCTTCCGATGACAAGGTCAAGGTCAGTGTGGAGCAGTGACTGACAGAGTTATTTGATCCCTCTGCACGCTCCACAGACGATCTGGCCCAGGCCTCATTCAGTTAGGGTGGGCGGGGTTTTTGGATACTAAATAAGCGGAAGTGTCATTACAGCCATAGCTGTCGAATATGCGTAAGTTCCTTAGACCTGTACTCACTCACACTTGATACGGCTTCGTCTATCCTCAATTTGGCTGTTGTGGGTTGTGGACTGCTGTGTTACACACTGTGGGCACCACCGATCACGACGGTCAAGCTGTTGAATGTTTTTTTTAGATGGGATTGTTTGTTTCTTCCCTTACTCAACCCTTCCCCCCATTTTCCATCGCTTCTTCCTCTTCCAGCTTCCCGCCTTAACGATCCCTCTGGTAGGTCCGGCTGGGGAGAAGAAGATAGCTACGGCAGTATGCACTTCCCTGGCCTGTCTGCAAACTTCCCGCAAGGATGACTCCTCCCTCGTCATCGTCTTCACTGGACACATGGATGGGATCGTGGCGGCTTCTAGCTTTACCCAAAAACGCCAGCTCTTCGCTTGGAGGGCACACTCCAATTGTCAGATTATTGGACTAGCTGTTCATGTGTGGACGTCCGTCTCCACGTCCCCATGTGTCATTTCGCAGGGTCGGGATGGCTATATTCGTTTCTGGCGGGTGGACGTCGCTCTGGGCCACGCTAGATGTACGTCGCCATTTGCATTTACATTTAGTGAATAATTCTACTCTATCTAATCAGTAGGCATTATTTAGTAGTAATAATTTTGCAAGACTGTTATTTTCTTACTTCACCACTAGGTCAATCACGATCAGTTCCCACCGGGAATCCTCCACTTTTTCCCCTAGTGCGTCATGAAATGTAAGACCGTCTCAGTTATAATCACAGAATTTAGAATGAAGTAAGAAATCGGGAGTTAGCCACTAGACTGATAGGTTTGGTAGATGTGAACGGTACACTTTCATTATGTTGTAGCTGCGGGTACTCATTCGAATATATTCACGGAATTTCGGGCCAGATTTTGAAATTTCGTATCGGCTGATTACTCCAAGTTTCCTTTTTAATTTCGAAATAAAGCATAAAGGCTGCGTTTGGTAAATCGAATGTGGTAAACGGTGACGCACTCTGTGATTAGTTCAGCCCCTCACGGTTGATTCATGTAACTTTGATGTTTAGCCCGACTTATAACATCTGCGAGTTAATATCCTCATTTATTTTGCGCCTGCTATGCCAAACTTGCGAATTTATCATGGCGGCTTCCAATGTATGTATAATATAGCTAATATGTCCGCTTGCGCGGCAAGCCCATCGTTTACTTCTGGGATGACTCACCAAACGCGTCTGTGAGATTCCTTTATCGTTTGTACTTGGGAGGACTGGCTTGATGGCCGCATCTTCCCTCCTGCACATGAGTAGTGTCCAATCAAAGCGCTCCTGGCGTCCCTGTGTGCGTTTGGCTCATGGCTTATAGTTGGTAGTTGTAGCTGGTCATCGGCATGTGGCGTACTAGAAGATGTAGACGTTTGATTTGAAAAGCAGTCTCAGTGGACAAAAAGACTGCTATGATACGGATAAGGCACAATACATATGGCCCTTTGGAACCGGCTACTTATAAAATTCAACCTATAGGGAAGACATGTTGCTTACTGACAAATCCGTTTGCATCCGGACCTTACTTACACAAATTTTCTCGGTTTTTAACATCGCTACGCGCATTTCAACCTCGTTTGTGCAAAGAAGAGTATGATGAAGGCATCCTGTTCACGTTTCGCATCTGAAGAGAAGCCACTGGAATTCAGCAATTCATATCGCGTGGTCCCGTGAAAAGTAGCATTGTTTGGAGTAATTAATCAAGGGTTACGTTGCAACACGTCCACGATGCATCCCAGACAGCCAATGCGATGATGGTGTGGCGGTCAAGGATGTGAGATCAACTTAAACCACGCACAATAAGTTCGTTTCGTCTAAGGTCAGAAGTCAGGGAGTTGTGAGGACTAGTTTATTCTGTACACATGGCAGGTTGCCGTAAGTTGGCTGTTTGCTTGCAACAGAGATAGGCGTCCGTTCACGGAGAGCGTCAGTTGCGGTGTGTCGTTTACGCGGGGGCGAAAGTCTGTGTCAGTAGGTGGGGGTGACTGGCTGAGTGTTGGTCATGAGATTGGACGGATTAGAGGAGGAGTAGGGGGACGCATAATCACAGGGGTTCACGGGTGTCAAGCCAGGTCGTCCGACGCGCATGAAGTGATAATAATTTGTGGGGGAAGCCGGGGGTTACTGCAGCTGGACAGGAGGGGCCCCAGTTCTAGCCGGCGGGGGTGGTCGTGTGTCAGCGGCCTGTCAACGATTGTCGCGGCCATCGACCGACAAGATGGAGCCGGAGAAAAGGGGGACTGGGGCGGCAGCTACAATGGTTTCATTCGTCCAGGTACCACCACAGTTATATCATCAATATGATTACAAGCATAAAGCGTCGAGTCGGGAATACGTTAGTGGCAACAAGTAGTCAAATACGACATTAGTAGGTGTTGTGATGAATTTCGACAATCTAATTGGCCGTCCACCTTCGAAAACTCGACGACCTGGGGGGGGGGGTGGGGGTGGGGCTCAAACTCGAAACAGAAGGTGCAAGGATTTAGTCCGGCCAATTCTCTGACCATCTTAACGACTAGGAATCGAGGCTGTTGGCTCTTATTTGCGGGTGGAATTGTTCTGACCCTATGTTCGCATGCAATTTTAGGGCTCTCATCACGACTTGATGAAAATCATCGTTTACTTCGCCCTCACTAAATTATGGCCTACTTGCAAATTATAAGTAGTGCACATTTCGGACATTTAGGTGCCCACGAGCTTCCTTGCTGTGAATTCACATTCTGCGCATTCAGTGCGTGGCGAGTCGATCCTAGTCCGGAAGCAACGCTCTCCTTCCTGGCCTTCGTCACAACAGAATCCAGCGAGAGTCCGGACTTGACAATAGAAGTCATCCGTTCAGAAGACAATCTCACCGTGGCCAGCGTTGACTCTGCCCTCATCTCCAAACTGGGAATGTGTATGGCTCTCAGTGGACTCCCGGAGGACCCCGGCCCACTGGGGTCTTCACCTCGTTGTCTCTTTCTGGCCGCCTTTGAAGCCAGCTGTGTCCTCATCTTCTGCGAGGGCAAACCGCTTCTCAGGGTTTCGCCCGAATCGACTGCAGAGTGTCGCCCAATCACATGCCTGGCCCTCGGTCCCGACCTTGTCGCCCCGGATGGCGAGACCTTTCGCCTGGTCGCAGTCGGACGGACTGCCATGGAGGTGGTGGACAGTTCAAGGACCCAGAAGCATGCAGCTTATGATTTGGATCTACTGCAACTGCGTCGCGCGGGTACGTTTTGACTTGCTTGTCTACAAAGACGTCTGCCAGACAGTCCAAACGTCTTGTATTGTTGGTTAAAATAGATCGAGACGACGTGAGAGGAACGACTTACTTCATCAGAATCGGAAGCTTTTAGTCTGCACAAGCTCACTGAAGCAAAGACGCAAATCAGGGTCACTGTATGCAAGGTCAGTAGGTATTCCCAGAAGCATAAGCACACACTTGCGCAATCCCGTTGGCTAGATGGTCTCCAAGTGGCGTAAAGCCGATGGAAAGTCTTTTGGTTAAGCTATCATGGAAGGGTTGTTGACCGATTAGGCTACGATGCGGAATCTTCTCGTCCTGCTTCGCCCCGAAAATTCAGTCGAAACCCCTGCGGACAGTCGCATACCGCCTTCCTTCTGCATAACTGCCGTAACCGGATCGATGAGCAACCCTTCCGTGCTATTTAATATTTCCGATGGCAGCGGACTGAAAAACGAGTTCGTGCCTTACTGGTAGATTGTTAAACTTAACGCCCGATGATCAATCAAAGAGGCCAACTCCGAACCCCAACGTTTGGTCTAGTTGGTAAATATCGGTTAATAAGCCAGAAATGACCATCCCAGTCTCTCTCTCGTCCTTCTGCGGTTTCTGCTATTATCGGAAAATCAATTAATGACCGTGAAATGGCAGTATGCATCCATCTTCTCCCGTTTCATGTCATCTCCTTTCACTGTAACGATCAGAAGTAGACTGTGATACAATCAGGCAATCTTGTGCCGGGGTGTGCATTTTCTCTCGATCTTTCAAATCATTTCCATTATCCCCCCCCCTTGGATTCCATGGCATTCTCAAGGGCAGTTATCTGATCCAAGGATATGGGCTTAACTCCACATTACTGTCGTTTAGGTTTAGAGGCTTTGCCCACTTCAATGTCGCAAGTATCGCAATTTTTCCGGTTTGTTTAGACACCAATGAGTACACACTCATCCGTCCCTCCAAATCCTTTCGCTCCCTGCCGCCCAGTTCGCACGGTGTCAGTGCGTTGGCCTGGCGGAACGATGGCAAACTACTCGCCGTCGCCCTCTGGAACGGTGATGTTAGGCTTCTGGCCACCTCCCCAACCCGTCTGCGCTTCCTAGGCACCCTTGTAAGTCCCGGTGCCGTTTTGGGCGGTGGTTGTCTTCTGGGTGAATGGGCCTCCCTATCCTCCACCGCTGTCACCGCCATTCCCACCGAGGTTGCTGACGCCCCCTCCGCTGACGCCAACAAAAGTCAACCCAAGGACACTGACCAGTTGACGCTGTCCGTTCGAGCTTGCCTCTTTATGCCATCTCCGTTGCACTGGCTCCTCACCTCGTCGCCTGCGGCCGCGGGTGGGGCCGGGGCTTTCAACGCCTGGGATGTGTATCGAAACTGACCACACTGTATAATGTTCCCTATAAGTATAATACATGTCTACTTTTTGTTTGTAAGTAGCCGCACACGATATTATATTTTTCCAGGTATTCTTGCCCGCCCCGCAGCCTTTAAACACCAACTAGTGTAAGTAACGTCGGAGCCACGTTCCTAATTTGCGTTGCAAATAATACTTCAGAGTGATTCATACGCGCATGATTTCACACAATGGTAAAAAAGGTTAAAGAAGAAGTCAAATTTAGAATTTCATTCCTCCAGAACTCTTATCGCGATTATTGGACTTGGGAACATTAGGTAAATAAGATGACCCGCCCTGGTCAAGTGTGTGTTGTGGACTAGGGGGTGTCGTGGCTCGCCTAGGTGCGGGTCCGTCCGTGTCAGCCACCTGCGCCCTCCTCCGCCTTCGGTCTTCTTGTCTTGACACCGGGTCCAGGGCGGGGAGGAGGAGAGAGCGCGGTAGATGCTGCGCAAGTCTGCATTCACTTTAAACTAAAGCACGCGCAAGTCACCGTGCCTGCTTCGCCTTGTTGTGGAGCACTCGGTAGATATCGTCGTCAAAGATGGTCAAACTGTCATCATGAAGTGAACGACATAGTCCAGCTCTGCTGAAAATTTTACGATCCCTGTATGGCGTCTACTTAATACAATAGAGAGGTACATACTTTTCATCAGGCGGAAAGTATACACAAGCAAGCCAAAACCCTTAACGCAATTGTTACGACAGATCGAGCTCAAAATTGATTGGGAATTGGAAAACTGTTTTAAGACCGGAAGATACCCCTTCTTTGGGTGTAAAATTTGCGGAAGATGCGCTTTGCGACCAAATGAGTGCAGAAAGAATATTTGCATGCATGCTTTCCACAAAATATATTTGGATTTGTAAAGGCGTTGATAATCAATAGACAAAGTGCCGACTACTTGAGTGGGCAGTCATTACGGGTGGCAAAAAATAAGTGCATTTAAAACCCAAGACCTTGGCGTGTCTGAAATATCACGACATTCTATCGCAAGATAATCAGTATTACAATACCTCCTAAGTGCTCCTTTCTAATCGAATACGCATTTCACAATTTCGGTCAACATTTCATAAGATGATCGCTCGCTGGCTGTGTAGTGGACAGTCATAATGGCTACGTCGCACCTCTCGCTAGCGCCTGCACTTACGTTCTAGCGACGGCCTGCTATGGCACGCACGTCTGCCCGGCTTCGATTTGTCTCGTTGCAATTCACTGTCTGCACCACGCATTCGGTTGATTCTCTGCCTGCACCACGCGAGGCTTGTCTCTACCTTCGCGTGGACTCGGAGCCAATCAACGCAACTCCTATCGCTGATTGGTAAGACAGGCGGAAACAGTCCAGAACACTAGCGTTAACAAAATGCCACGACACTTTTGCAGCGGCGACCTTCAGCGAAAGAGGGCTCGTCGATCTCGCGGACGCCGCCTCCGCGGCGCCGGACGCATACTCGTCCGGTTGCCAACTTTCCCCCCCACTATTCTGTACAGAATAAATTGTCCTAACCAAATGGCGTCCAGCTTCTAGAAACTTGGGATATGACCTGAAGTTGTGGCGTACTGAGCATACACCATCACAGCTTTGCCGCTACAGCTGTATGCATGGGGAGAGCCATTTCTGGGTTCAAAATCATATTTCTTCAGCCTTTCTGGCCTTCGCTCTAATCCATCGTCAGTTAAAATTGAAACGCCATCAGAAGGGACCTACTACCGCGCTCTGTATTCGTTCTCGCAGTTTTTGGTCAGCCATCGGCAAATCGATATGTCCGCCACGCTTTCTGCAGGTAACGTGAGACCTGATCATCCACGCGATCACGAGAATCACAGGCTGCTTCCGAAGTTGACAAACTTTCATCGCCGTAGGCGTCACCGGCCAAGTGCAGTCTGCGCATGCTACACTGCGGGAGCGGGTGGTTTTTGTCGAGATGACAAATGCCGGTAAGATGTGGATTGGTAGCCCTACCTGATGGACACACTTCTGTTGGGGTTGTGGGTTAGGGTTATAGTTATGGGTTAGGGGTTGGAGTTTAGGATTAGGGGTTGGCGCAACTACCATTACAAGTACAACCACTCACTCCTAATAACTTTTCTTTTGCATAAAACTACTTGACCTCGTCGCCTCTGTGTTCCCCGGCTCCACCTGAAAAACCCCTATTACTACCCCTCCCGTATTAGAGGTGACTGGGGTTTGCTTACTTCAGGTGGGGTCACCAAACCACATCCGACCCAAATGCCCTTACCGTTCCCCGTCTTCGGACGGTGTCGGGTTGTCAGTGATCTCCTCTGCGTAGCCCATATTTGTTGTCCCAGTATCGGCCTTCTTGTCCTTGCCTCTCGTTCACGCTAGTGGTCGCGCCTCTGTTCGCACGCCGGCGTTCACACAGGAGCAGTTTTCGAGCTCGATAGGGGGTCCTGTTGACCTGCATTCCCCTTCTGTCCTCCTCCGTCTGCGTTCTCGCTCAGTATATCCGTCCTGATTTCTGCTTTGACTCGGCCTGGTACTTGAAAGTCCGTGGAGCGTATACGCACTCGACCCTTGAACCCAATTCCAAAGCGGCAGACAAAGAATGCACGACCAGTCACGGAAAGTGCATTAGAAAAACACTGCAAGTCGCGACTAGCCGAAAGTTGACGCATATTTATAACACCCTACTGTGGTTCGCCGGCGTTCGACCCAATGCCCTTCAGGAAGAGGGGAGTGGCCAATGGGGAGGCGCCACGATTGAGATGACAGCGCTGTAGAGAGAGCAAACGCACGTGGTCTCCAGTGATTGGTTGGCTCTTGTTTTTGGGTGTAGGTACTCCCAACAATTTCCTATCGGTGTTACGCTGATTGAACTGCTCTCGTCGGGGACCGGTAAGCCTTAGGGCGAAGGACTACACGACAGTCCAGGTAAGTCATTCCAGCTTGACGAGCCTTAAACCTCTCTCTCCCTCGGATCTCCTGATCGTCGCCTCCGTCCAGCCCTTAGGTTCCCTGAAAAGCGAAGGCGTTCTGTGGCCAGGGATAGCTGGTTTATCCTTCTCATTCGTTTTGCGTGTTCACTCGTGAGGGTCTACAATCACCTATCGGTATCTCCAACGAAGTTCTCATTGAAGAAGGAGACACGATCACTGGGACAAGAGCTTTATTAGCCTGGCGTTTCGGGTTCCTACTCGACCCCATCATCAGAGACAACAGCAGATACGGGTGCTTCATGCGAACACTTCCTTATGTCAAGAACGTTTCGGAACCTGTAGGCTGCCTTTTCGCCCTACTTAGGGTTGGAATTGCACACGGACCGAAGGCAGCCATCAGGCATCAGGTAATGGAGCCGAGAGACCCGCTGCCACGGCCAGAAACGTCTGGAGTCGTTTATCGGATGTGGTGCAGCTGCGGACAAAGCAACTACGTCGGAGAAACCGGAAGACAGTTCCGAACGCGAATGGCCGAACACGCTGCAGCGGTGCGGAGAAATGACGCCAGTTCTCAAGTTGCGGCTCATTCGACGAGATCCGGCCGCACATTCAAATTCGACAAGGCCAAAATTCTCGCAAGAGGTGACAACCGCGTGAGCCGGGAGCTGCTTGAGTCATGGTTTACTGGCCCCCAGTCTATTAACAAGTGCAATGATCTTCCCGTTTCATACTCGGTGCTGAGATTTCGCCTAGGCGGAGTAATTGGCCACTCAGGGGGCGTACAGGTGAGCACTTTTCCCAACACCAGGGTCGACGCGTCAGATGGTCGAGCACTCATCACGCCAACATCCAACGCACGTGATGAAATTGCAGCAATTAACGACGCGAATGCCGGCCATCAAACAATTAGCACACTAAGTGAAACGATCCCGGATGAAGGGGGGAGCCGTGAATGTTCATAGGTATGCGGTAGTATGGCGACTGCATCCTATAAATACTGCAGCCCTTGTGCATGAACCACCCATTTTCTGCTTTTTTGTCTCTGATGATGGGTTCGAGCAGGAATCCGAAACGTCAGGCCAATAAAGCTCTTGTCCCAGCAATCGTGTCTCCTTCTTCAAGACTGCTTCCTGGGACTCGTCTCTTCGCTTCTATTGAGTTCTCATTGCAGTAACTGCACTTGGACACAATGGTCGATGTTTGTCATTTCGTCTTGCGACAGGGGGACCTGAGGTTTTATGACCAGGCGTCGTACTGTCGCCTCGAGTCCAACGCCCAAACCAAACAGTTGTTCCAGATGCCCTCTCAGTGTGCCTGTCAGACTCTGTTGTTGACCGCATACTTGGCGTTCTCCACAGCTGTGGGAGTAGCTGGTGGAAGTAACCACTCTGTCGCCCGCCTCTCCGCAATGTCTGTCTGCCCTCTTGTAGAGGGTTCGCACACAACTGACTTTATGTATAGGGGGTGGTTACTATGGGGACTTGGAGCTTGACATGTGTCATTGGCCTCTCTCTCTCTGTGATTCGTTGTCTTCGGGCTCTTATTGACCTTTCGGTGATTCAGAACGTCTCGAAACCGTAGCTCATTGTTGTCCTCCGTCTCAGTTGTGAACTGGATGTCTAGAAAGAACTCGTGGAATTCTGCGACTATTCCACACTTAAGGATTACGAACTTGTCGCCCACTCTCCTCATCTGAAATGTGAGTTTGTGAGCTGCCGCTGACGGTATTCATCGTTTCTAGAATACATCCTCAGTGATGAAACCAGACAATGACGGCCCAATCGGAGTAACTCTTATTCGTCAATATGCCATCCCTTCAAAGGCGGGATTTGCCTTGTGACGTACGTTGCGTAGCAGGGTAAGGCAGCCTTGCCTTTGCGTCTTGTCCGACCCATTTTGTGGTCTCTTGAGTAGAATGCAGATTGCTTCAATTGCTAGGCTCCATGGGTTACATGATACCATGCTGTCACCTCTGTTGGATTCTAGATCACAGTTTTTTTTCAGGAGACGTATAGCTGAATGGACTGCCTTACTGGAACCTGTTGCGAAGATGCTCTTGCCACTTAGTGGGAAATTAGGGTTCCGCGTA